CTAAAAACTCTTTTGTTCTGTGCGCGGTGTGAGAACTCGCATTGTCGTGATGGAAGATGATGCGGCGGTTGCAGTTCTCTTTACGGAGTTCAGAAACGACCTGTGGCAAACAAATGCTAGCATACCATTCTGCATTAACCGTTCTTTGTCCCTCAAGAGGAATAGCCGTAACATGGCCGGTTTGGACAAACGTGGCCACCATTTTTTTTGCAACACTCCGTGAACGAACAATTTTTGTTGGCTTTAACTCATTTTCGAACACCCAAACTCGTGACTGGTTTTTTGTTTCGGGTTCGTACGCGTATATCCAGGATTCGTCACCTGATACAATGTTGTATACAACATTTGAGGATCCTGCGTGGAATCTTTCGAGAATTCTGACGCACCAAGTAACGCGAGCCGCTTTTTGCTCTTCACAGAGCGAATGCGGTATCCATCGAGAAAACAACTTTTTTACACCTAATTGTTCATGCAAGATTATTTGTATTTGACTCATGCCAATGTCTAAAGTTGCCTGAATTTCGCAGTATGTCACATGTCGATCTTCCTCAATCAGCTTATGCACAGCATCAACGTTTTCTTGGGTGACTGCAGTTTTTGGACGACCTTGACGGGGATCATCACTAAGCTTGACACGTCCACGTTGAAACTCCGCAAACCAGCGATAAACTGTGGTTTTGGATGGGTCTTCATCACCAAATGCGGAAATCATCCGGTCAACACACTGTTTTTGTGTTAAACCACTTCGAAAATCATAATAAATCATCGCTCTTGAATTTTCTCGAGTCAATTCCATTTTCTCAACGACTAAACAAGTTTGACAAAACCTCGTGACAAGACCGAGAATCTTTTTTAAAATAAATAAATGGTATTCGATTTTTAAAACCAAGGAGTTTTCAATTAAAAAGATTTTAATATGACAGGAGCAGTGGAAATATTCCATTCCCGATACTTTTAGTGCAGCCCTCGTATCACCCACGGGCATGTTAAAAGACTGTCGAAGGTAGACGAGACAAGGGGAGAAGAATTGCGCGACGCATTATCAGAGAATAGTCTTCAAACTAGATACGACCTCCATAAAAGAAGATACAGACTTGGGCGTAGATAAATTGTAAACAGAGTCAATTGGTCTAGAACTCTTGACTAGCGAAATTTGAAGAGTTCCCATAAAACTGAATATTCGTAACGCCGAGATTTATTTATGCAAATAGATTCGTGTAACGATATTTGAGTGCTTTGACCGCTTATTTACTAAGAAGAACAACTCATGTTCCCGTTGGAATGATGCCACTCTGATGATGGGTCCCACGTAGAACCAAAATGGGAACATATCGGTCATGAAAGTTGAATTTTCGTTCTAAAATCTTTATAAGATGCAGTCTTCCTCTCACTGTTAGGGGGAATAGCTGGTGTGTAATGAAGACGACTATGTGATAATACCTACAATCCATCCAAATAAAAACCTAATAGTGTTCTTCAGTTGAAAAAAAGACGAACCAATAAGAGATCGGTAAGTCCGAATTAATATATAGGTACAGTAGTCAGGATGATTAACTAAACTAATAAGAAAATCGACTAAAACAATGAATCCATTTTGTTTAGGAATACATCACGCAGGCGCGTCGATTTGAAAGAATGTTTTGAGTTCGAAACCCTTCGTGTCTTATCTAGTATAAATGTTTGCTTATGAAAAAAAAAAACGTGATCACTCGACATAGTTGGTGCATTTGATATACGTGGCAATACTAACATTAAAATAAAAACGTAATATATAATTCCTTGATAGATATTCAGTACCGTGTGCTAATTTAAAACTGTAACACAAGTGTGCATTGATGATATTGTATTCACAATTATGTATATGTAGTAGACTTTGCGGGCTTCGTCGAATAATCATACGATAGGCAGACAAAAATATCTGTGTTTTCGGGTTGAAATGACCCGAAAACATCATCATCATCATCATCTGAGCACCACACTACATACTACATTGATTACAACGATTAAATAAATAATCGCTATATTTAGTTACTAAAATAGGTTTATAAAGTAATTGTTTTAATGTGTATTAGGGAGGTAAACGACAAAGCGAAGATCTTCCCTGGTGTTGATCTGTAGACAGACGGTCCGTATATTATTGTTCAGAAAGTGTGTATAGGCAAATTTATTAAAAAATATATTTAAGAATTAAAGTGAGACAGTGAGACGGTACATCATTAGATAGTACCTACAGTAGTAAAGTACATCGCAACATATTATCGACGAGATCGTTTTTCGCGACAAACCCATTTATTGTACACCAGTGTATGTGGTTTTTAATGTCAATTATGTTAGCGTGTTCTTCTCTCCCTGTGTCTGTCTCTGTCTCTCTATCTCACTGTCTCTGTTTCGCTTTCTGTCTTGAGGATAAGTCTATTATTTTTAAGTTTGTGCCGCAGCAATTCTCCATGTAACAGGCAATGTTAATAACAACACAAATAGGAAAACAGGAACATGGGCTCCTTAGAATAGAAAACATATTAAAAAAAGGTTTATTGCTTCACGAATTATATCGTATTAAAAGTACATATTTATATTATCTGTGAATTCGTGATGCTACAGACGCAATTAATCGACTCGTTTGAAATTTGAACTTCGATTAATAAGTTCCATAGACCTTGGTAATACAGAAAGTTGATAGTTATTGTAATTCCGTCACACCAGAGCGGGCATTTCCGTTTGCGTCACATCATAGAATAATATATTACTGTGGTTATAATTAGTAGTTATCCCAAGCCAGAGCAGAAACTGTTTATTATTATCACTGGCCAGTCTCCACCTGTCTTCCACTAAAGATGTTGCCAGATGGATACGGCCGAAAATAGCGGTTTGTATGCGAAAATACAAAACAAAAATGTTGTCACGTATACATTACGCTTGAATTTTACCATTTGTGGCAATATTTCTGTGTAAATAAAGCATGATAACTAATATTAAAAACAATTTGTAGAAAAAAAACTATCTCAATTTTCATTGTTTCAATCAATACACCGAAATTATGTATTAGCACTTTCCATTTCTGAACGTGTGGGCGGCAGTGGTTGTTGTGTGGTTTGCAGCCATTTGCAATTTGCATACAATACGAAAGAATCGCATACTTTAACGGTACTACTATTCGCTCATTCGTAATTTATGATTGCCTTGTATTGTTTTTAATGTTCATTAATATTTAAAATATATAGTTGCGTACTATAAACTTTATATATCTTCGTATATAATGACAAAATTCAAAATAGGTCCATACACCGCAATAAAACTTATCAATATTCAAAAGAAAAAAACAGTATATCATTTATGTATTAAGTTAGGAAATATAAATGATTGTCTTGCATTATAACAGCAACTCATAGAAACAATAGATCTTAACGAAGTAAATAGTAATTGTTGTCTGCCCATGTCCTAAATAAGAAGTAAACTTATAGACAACATATGGATGTCACTAATCATGAACAATGACCAAAAAAATCCGGGATGCAAAGTAATTTGACACGATTCACGAACATCTGGCAACACTGACACTCGTTCAACTTTTTCATTGCATTCCACAAACACGTTTGCGGTCCATCTGCCTATGAGTAGTTATTGTAGTAAGATAATATAATAAATATGTGTCACATTATTATACATCATTCGATCATCATATTATCGTTAATATTTTAAATATTATAAACATTGTTTTTTACACGATTTTAGGTACCGTATTAAAGAAGGTTAAAGAGTCCAATAGCAGAAGATACATGCTAGAGAACTGCTAGAACATGCTAGAAAACTAGAAAAGTCAAGATCAATAGATTTATCAGTCTGTCCTTAATGTTCTATACTAATAATATATAGCGTCGAACGGAATAGGTCACCACGATTTTTGTATCCGTTTTAAGGCGCGTAAAAAACTTAGAATATCTTAGTTCAATCTATATTTATCTATAGTTTATGGTTGTCTTGTCTACTGTTGTATTTAAAGAACCAGTTACATCGTCATAAGCAAATAATCATCAGTGTCAGCGTCACATAACGTGATTTGCTATTTCCGATAATTCACTTCAAAAAACCGTTTTATAAACAAGATTTATGAAGTGTTGAGAAAAGTTCACGCTAATAAAACTATGTAGTTGTCTGACATTTAGTAATTCGTGTAGCGTGCACACGACGTTTTAAATTAATAACTACAAATCTAGCTACAGACTAAAAGGAGGTAACTCTTTCACAAAAAAAAAGGTTAGATTGTACTTCTTAGGAACGTTACTAAGTACCTACATTATTTTTACGTTATTTACATAAATACAAATTTGGTGGAAGGACTTCGATTTAATTAATTTATCAATTATGTTAAACTTTCGCGGATAAATTATGTTATTAAATGTGATTAATTAACCTATTTTAGATAATGCCATTTGATAAATTTCGTCCATGAACGATTGATATTTTCATATTATTCTTATATACAATGACGGTGGGGTATAAAGCTTTAATTGTTTATGCCAATGAAGCAAATAATTAGCGATTTCAAGTTTGTAATAATTGAAAATTGTATACGTAGTAATACGTATATACCTATTTTTATTTCACAAAATGTCAGCGCCATTGGAAGTGAAAACATATGCTTTACGCAATAAAATTTATAAAATTTCAATAATACAAACTAGAATAAGATATATTTTTCCACTTAAAATGTACGTAAGTACACGACCACGATATCTAATAATATAAAATTCAAGTCCAAAGATGATATTTATGAAAATGAAAAATCCCAAAAGTTTTAAATGGTTAAGTAAAGTAAGTCGTACAAATACATGCAAATATAAATGCAGGTAGTATTGAAATGCAACAATTGATCCAGGTAGTAAAATATTATAAAGCTTTTCAAAGCTGGCACAACTTTAATTTTGCTTTCAAATTTACTCCGCAAACGTTCATTTGGCTAGCAACATTTTACTCGTCAATTAAATAAAAATCTTACTCACTTCTTTTATGTGGTCATAAAAACCTTTTCAATGTTATGCTCAGAAACACAATCAAACAAAACACAGCTTAAAACAATTTCACACACAGAAACACGTTGAATTTCAACATTAAACATTCGATTATATGGAACTCTGATCGAACGTGCAAACAAACCGCTGCGCACACGTCTGACGCCAAACGCGAACTGAATGAATCGTGCGGTAATCGTGCAGCGTGCCTAATGTCCGCTTTTTAGTTAAACCAGTGTAAACAAATAATAAAACCGTATTAATTGCTAGGTGGGTCTCACGGTTTTAATCACGTTTTTGCATTAACTAATAACGAATACATTAAATAGGAGTTCGTGCTAGCATACTATTGGTTGCATGTGCTTTTCAAGTGCCATGGCCACTCCAATTCGAAATTCGTAGTTGATACGATGTTAATGCTAGTTCAATAACATTTTGAATCTCCAGCGTTTTGGCCAGACTGTAATTTTAAGACAAAAATTTTAAATCTGTATCGCCCATAGCTATTTTAAAAAAAAATCTACTTTAAATTATTATTTTTAATTTTTTTTTTGATTTTTACTTATTACAGCTGTGTTAGAATATAGAATACACCGATAAAACAGGAGTGTGAATCAATGTTTGCGTACTGTATGCTTAGTGCGAGTTCTATAACGTTCTCAATAGCGTAAAAGTTAACTCAGATTTGTAAACGGCACACGTAGGAAAATGTTCCAACTCCATACCTGAAAGAGTCAAGTACCGGTCATCGTTCTCGTCGAACCCGTCTCTTGCGACGAAGGGCTCGACGAGTAAATTAACCCTCAGACACAGCCCATTGAGTTTCTCGCCGTATCTTCTCAGCGGGTCGCGTTTCCGATCCGGTGGTAGATTCTGCGAAGCACGGCTCTTACTAGGGTTCGTGTTAGCAACGTCGTCAGGTTTGAGCACCATGAGCTCACCTACTAGTTAAGGTTTCGCTGAAATAGCCTCTCAAGGCTCTCAGCTCAGGTAGGAACAAAAAAAAACCCTGAAAGAGCTCCATACATAAAAACACCTGGCCGCTCAAAACGCATTAATAGTCTTGACCAATAGTTTAAAAAATAATCTCTCTCTCTCTCTCCCTCACTTACTAGTTCATCATCCCCCACGGTGGTGGGATCAGCTCTCCTTATTTTTTCCTCCACTTCGCATTCTCCGACGTCCTTTTTAGTTATTTGAAAGCTAGTGCTACTCATGTGGTCCTATTTGAATTTAATAAGAACTGACCAATACTGCTTGAGATATCCTTAATAATGCTTACTTAATTGATTTCGACTACATACAAAGGATGTTCCGTATATCTTGGACTGAGCATCGCACCAACGCCTCGATCCTAAAAGAACTAAATCTCTCTCACAGGTTATCGTCAACAGTGCAATCCAGGATTCTTCGATATTTTGGACACGTATCGCGTCGGCCAGCAGAGTCTATCGAGAAACTTGCTGTTCAGGGTAGGGTCAATGGTAAGAGATCTCGTGGACGAATTCCCATGCGTTGGACTGATCAGGTGAAAGACCTTACTGAAACCCCACTTAACGAGTGTGTGCGCCGGGCCTCGGTTCGCAAACTGTGGAAAACATCTGTCAAGGCTTTAATGAGCAAGAATTCCACATGACCACGACTGCTCTGCCAAGAGCAACCGATTATGATGATGACATTGATGATATTCTCATGCTAATGTGTTGTAGTAACTCTCCTTTTTTGTTAAATTTTTTATACTATACTTTACTCCTTGTATTGTACAACATTTATGGCATAGTTTTAGTATGTTGTTAAACTGGTCAGTTTTAATCAAAAATAGAAAGAGAAAGTACTTGAGTTAACTAGTGAGAGGTGTTGCCGTTATACATTTTAACAGATGTTTGTAGTCGTCGTGGCCTGAGGGATAAGAAGATAAGATGCTCGGGTACTGGTATCGTACGATGCGACTGCATCAGAGTTCAAATCCCGCAGGCAGGTACCAATTTATGTAATGAAATACGAAATTTAACAAGCCTTCACTAATGACTTCCATTATGAAGGTTATAAAAGGAAGGTTAATCGTATTATAAAAATACCTGCATAAATATATTCTAGGTATAATTTGTGTCAATATCAAGAATAATTGTAGTTTCAATCATGACGAATAGGCACCAGTATCGTATTTATTTCAATCGCGAAGGAGTAAATGCGTTTCGGTCTGAATTATGGGACAGCCGTTATACCTTGTAACTAAGACTTTAACCTCACGAGGATAGGTGGTGATAGGTAGGTAGGTGGTGAAGTTGTCGTGGCCTAAAGGATAAGACATTCGGTGCGTTCATATCGAGCGATGCAACGGTGTTCGAATCCCGCAGGCGGGTACCAATTTTTCTAATGAAATACGTACTTAACAATTGTTCACGATTGACTTCCACGGTGAAGGAATAACATCGTGTAATAAAAATCAAGCCCGCAAAATTATAATTTACGTAATTACTTGTAGTAGGACCTCTTGTGAGTCCGCACGGGTAGGTACCACCACCCCGCCTATTTCTGCCGTGAAGCACTAATGCGTTTCGGTTTGAAGGGTGGGGCAGCCGTTGTAACTACTTTATACTTGAGACCTTAGAACTTATATCTCAAGGTGGGTGGCACATTTACGTTGTAGATGTCTATGGGCTCCGGTAACCACTTAACACGAGGTGGGCTGTGAGCTCGTCCAACCATCTAAGCAATAAATAAAAAAAGGTGGATGGCGGCGTTTACGCTGTTATGTCTATAGGCTTCAGTGACCACTAAGGCCTTGAGCTAGTTCACCAGTCTATGCTGTAAAAAACGATCAGTCCGTCGGATATACCACCACGGACAAGCAGTTGTCTAGAGCTTTTAAATCTGGTTTCAAGCAGAGTTTGTCATGGGACACCGGAAACACTGAGAAGGACATTTCACAAAAGCCATCTCTGAAAGCATACTGTTGATAAGGTGCAGTGATTACCAGTAAGTATTAGGATGAATTGCGGTGTGGGGCGATTCGTTGATAATAAAGGATCCCATTGAAGATAGCAAGAACTAAACTCCAACGCTCTGTCTAAGACTCTGTTTCATAGATACGGATTTTAATGCTTCGCTACAGAAGAAGAAGGAGCCTGGATCGTTGACGCCTAACGCAGTTTGGCGTTCTATTTCTGACGGTTCATTAAATAAAAAGCTTCAAAATCATTCACATGTCATGGGCACCATCATAAAAGACATGCGACTTCTAGGTCGTTTTCCTCCAGTCCTGCTTCTCATCTCTGAGGGTCGTGATCACCTGATTTTTACTAGATCGAATGCAAAAGTCACCTCAAATCTAAATTAACAAAAGCGCCTTAAGAATATAAACATATTCTTAATACACTTTTAGGAATTTACTTCCATCTTTAAAAAATAATCTTTATAATCTTCCATTAATGTGTACAGTTGTACACAGTTGTGTACAGTGTATATTAATGAGATTATCGTGTAGGTTAGCGTGACACGACCACTAGCTAAAGGAAATACGAATTATTTGTTTTAGTAACAAAAATGTATTTTATTGTGTTTGAACAGTTTCAAAAAACCATTCGCTTGTTTTCACAAGTGTGCTACAAACGTGAGCAAAAGTTCAGAAGTTTATTTGTATAAATATGTGGGGAGTTATTGGTCAATTTATTTTCGATTTGGGAAAGCGAATAAACGCTGCTTTTAATATTGAAGCTTCGGTATTAGGCGAGCTCCGAGCACGTCTGTGGTCCATCTAATCACAATTACGTTTGTCCATTTTTCATCATCATCATCATCATCATCATCAATAGCCTACAGTCGTCCACTGCTGGACATAGGCCTCTCCCAATCCACACCACTGAGCCCGGTCTACGGCTCTCCTCGTCCACTTCTTCCCGGTCACCGTTCGGAGGTCATCGCACCACCTAGCCAGGGGGCGTCCCACGTTACGTCTTCCGCTGCGCGGTCTCCACTCGAGAACCCGTCTGCTCCAGCGATTGTCAGTCCTACGGCATATATGGCCAGCCCACTGCCACTTCAGCTTGCTGATTCTTTGAGCTATGTCGATGACTTTAGTTCTCTGTCGAATAATCTCATTCCGGATTTTATCCTTCATGGAAACTCCGAGCATGGCTCTTTCCATGGCTCGCAGAGCGATCTTGAGCTGACGGACCAACCATGCTGTGAGTGTCCACGTTTCGGCTCCGTAAGTCATTACCGGTAGGACGCACTGGTTAAAAACTATCGTTTTCAGGCACTGTGGGATGTGCGATGAAAAGACACCACGCAGTTTGCCGAACGCCGCCCAGCCCGTCCATTTTTGCTTTTGTTTAAAAATGAGGCGAGTGTAAATCGCACACCACACTATTTTTTTTTATAGTTGAAGGATTACTGGTGGCCCGAGGGCCTTTCCAGTTTCACCAGGACAAGTGGGCGAGCAAATGCTCAGCCAGGAGGGGTGGGATTTGCTAACAACTGCCCGAGCGCCTCCGAAGGAGACCTAACAACTCAAGAGCAATTGCTTCGCGAATGAACGCACGCCACACATAAATGGCTAGGAAGTATGAAATTAATTTGAAAGTCTCATTTTTATTTTGACTTCTTACCATATTTTGTAAGAGAATCAGCTCCGAATTAAAAAAGCTCCGATAACAACAGCCAGCGTGCTTCAGGACAACTTGCGATAGCCAAAATAAACCAATAATCTCAGTCCACTATAGATAGCTGACTGCAAATGGAACATCTTAAGCACATTAATAAACAATTTCATATAGCTTCCTTCGTTTGTTTGTGTTGGTCAAATCTACTAATCAAACCCTTCCCTAATATAATTATGTATTTTATTCAATTTAATTTTAGATCTCAGATGACTGCCGATACAAAACGACTTGATACCTTAAATAGAGGTAACAAATGAAATGGCTTAAAAAGTAGGGTTCCGTACATCAAGAAAAAAATTCAAATTAGGATGTCCGCCATCATAAAATAGCGGATATCTTTGTTTTCCAATATGGAGGGTAGAACTAAGGAGTACTATCTCATTGTATTATAAAATGTCCGCTGGAACATGGAGCCAATGACGATGGCGCCATAGTAGCAAGTGAAAAGATTTAAAAAACCGATCATTGTTCTCGTCGAACCCGTCGCTTGCGACGAGGGGCTCGGCGAGTAAATTAACCCACAGACACAGCCAACTGAGTTTCTCACCGGATCTTCTCAGTGGGTCGCGTTTCCGATCCAGTGGTAGATTCTGCGAAGCACGGCTCTTGCTAGGGTTCATGTTAGCAACTTCGTCAGGTTTGAGCCCCGTGAGCTCACCTACTAGTTAAGGTTCCGCTGATATAGCCACTCAAGGCTATCAGCTTAGGTAGAAAAAAAAACCAATATACTCCTATGGATTAACGTATAGCAAGACATTTTTTCGAAGTAAAAGTATCAATATTATTAAGGTGCTTAAGCGAATTTGCGACTCATCTTGGGTTTGGCTACAGCCAGAGCCCTTGCACTGCGCGTATCTTGTTCTTCAAACTCTGCAGAAACCCCCCGTAAACGATAGTTGTTAGCCCATCAACAGTAATTAATAGAAAATTCGTGCGTTTTTGCTATTCACCCAACTCAATAATCAGCTATTAGGAGCTGGGAATTAGCGAGTTATTTAGGGAAATGAGATTAATATTATGACGAATAGATTTTTTATTTATTAAGGGTCTGATGCGTATACCGCAATACAAATATATTCAAATAAGTTAAATACCTGAAATGATTTCCAGTATACGAAAATTCCACGGTGCTCGGCAATTGGTTGAGATCTCACATGGAAATATTTTAAGATATTCATTTAGATAGGATATCAATATTTATGCAATAATCATAGTAAAATATTTTCTCATAATGAGAGTTTAAAAATGTTTATTATTAATATTGTTTAGTTCAAACATATTTCTGTCAGTATATTTTTAACTGCGGTCTGGTGTTGATAACGCATTTGTTGGTAGTGGTGTAAGTTACATTTTTGTTCAACAGTCTTTGATCAAATCTTGGTCAAATGTGACTAGATATTGGTCTCTATTGGACTAAAATAACGGAAGTGGGTAAAATTATATATCTTTTTATTCGTCCTTGGAAAATAAACAAAGCAGTCGTCTTAATCGTTTATTTTATGACTATTGATAACATATTGTCTACGTCTACATTAATTATTATCACAGTTTAAATATTATATTTACATATTACGACTAAATACCCAATTTCGTATTTGTATTTCCATATATTATGTTCTAAGTAAAATGGACAATTTTAATATAATGTCAATAATTTTTATTGGTGTTTTGTTGGTCCAATATTGAACACATTTGCAATTATTGAAAATTGAACATCAGATGTCGTATATTTAAAACAATTGTATTTATAATTGTTTTGATCTTAAATTGAGAATTACTTAAGCCTCTAAAGTTCGCGTTCGTAATGTATTTTGGACATCAAGCTAAAAGTTAAACTCAATTACAGTAATGTCACTATTAATTGCTATTGCTAAGTCCGTAAATTTGTATATTAACGCATCAAAATTATCTACACTATAGGTACTACCTACAAGTTACGTTCATAGATTTTGTTCTTAAAATATATTTAGATAATATTATGAGAACATATTTTAAAATAAAAACCTTGTTGTAATATTCCGTGGGAAAAGATTTCTGCACTAATATTTTTAAATGACATTGCTCTCCGTCTAAACTAAGTTCGACAAGTAGGCAATTAAATGTTATTTTAATACACTTTAACATCTTTGTTTAACATCCTTGAAAGCCAAATAAAACATAGAGCACTTCGGATATCTTTATCACACAAATAATCATGATTTTCGGATTATAAATAACCAGTTTCGTTGTTCGAGTTAATTCAATTTGAAATGACACAAAATGGTGGTCTATTTATCTCTCACTCTCGCGTTAAGATAAGCTATCTTTGTTTCTCGCTCGCACTTTTAAACTAAAAAATTTTCATACCGTATCGGTTTTAGCTTTTCGACTGCACATTGTCGCTGTTGTCAGGTAGAAATAGCGTTTTAGGCAGCTCTGCTAATATTTTTTATTTATATTACCGAAGCAATTTATTACTGAGGTATTAATCAAAAAATAGTATGAAAAAAATATGACAATAAAAAATTAACTCCTTAAATTACAAGCTATATTTATTTCGGTATTTTATTCATTGTCTTAACAACCTGTTCTCATTTTCATTCATCTATTTAAAAGAAATTTCTTAGGAACTATTTACTTTAGGGTTTTTTTGTAAGCACTTTAATATAATGATGTTTTTAAATTCAATTTGCCGCGCTTTTCTACTTTTTATCGGTCACAGAAGTCAGTTTATTCAGTTTAACTTTTAACAAAACCATATTATTATAATTGAATCTGTTGTCAAAGTTATTACCAAAATACCTAGTAAAGGTGAAATTGGTAACAGATAGATATGTAAAACTCAATATCTTGCTACAAGTGTTAACTTGAGATCAGAATATTAACTATGTACTAAAAGCGAATAAGGCTACATTTAGATATTAATTTGGTAGGATCCATTATTATCTATATTTAGATTGCTTAAAACTTACATAGAAATAAAGTTAGCGTTATGACTCGATTTAAATTAAGTATTGAATACAAAAAATTCATTACTTTTCTTTATTCACTCAAAGCACATACTACCTAATATTCTATTCTAATTAAAAAAAATACATTACTCCACACTCACAATCTTTCCGTCTAGTATTTTAACAACATTTCAAAGATTTACTCAAAATAATAATGATTCAGATGACGAGAAATACACTGAAAACTCACAAATTCAATGCAAATTGATTAAAGATTCAAAAATAGCGAAAAACGTACATAGGTATGTACCTACCTCCATACAAAATTTAGATAGTAGATAGGTACCATACAATTTTTTTTTTAAAATGAAACACTTATTTTTTTATATCTAGAGGCACTGGGTTCGGTCGCGAACATGCCTCGACTTACTAGAATCGGAAACAAATTCGATTCTCAACTAAAATATATTTTACAAACAAAAATATGACAATATAAAATTAACAGAATTATTAGATATTTCGACTATCGTCCTACGGTATAACCTCAGTTTTGTTTTCATCTTTCTCCTCATCGTTTCCCGACAACTTAGAGTATATCTCGGCGACAGTCTTCTGTCTTGTTTCTGGGAAACGAACCATTGTATATATGCACGCACCGAACGATACCACACCGAAGAACAAGAAAGTCCAGTGGATGCCGACGAGGTTACATATATCGGTGAACCATTTCATTTGTATGAAATTACTTATTTTGGCGCAAATGTTCGTGAACGATGACACTGTGCCTCGTAACTGGAATAAATATATATATTTTTATTTGCATTTTAAAACTTAGATGAGTAAAGGAGTTCATCTCCTGTACAACAGTCAATGCCACCATTCACCTTGAGATACCTTGAGGAATGAGATCAAAGTTTTAATGTACTTTTTAAAAAGTGTGTGACTATACGTATTTACGGTCGATATGGGCAAAATGGTGGTACCTACCCCTGATGGTAGCACCTCTTGAGAGTTCGCGCGGGTAAGTACCACCACCCTGCTTATTTCTGCCGTGAAGCAGTAATGCGTTTTGGTTTGAAGTGTGGGGCAGCCGTTGTAACTGTACTGAGACCTCAGAACTTATGTCTCAAGGTGGGTGGCGCATTTACGCTGTAGATGTCTATGGGCTCCAGTAACCAATTAACATCAGGTGAGCGGTGAGATCGTCCACCCATCTAAGCTATATAAAAAAAAACATACCCATACGGGCGTTACGTTCCCCAACTATTGAATGTCTGTTTGGTAAGCATAATACTCTTGTTTAATATTTATGCTTAGTGCGATTTTCAAAAATCGAATCGAATGACTCGCGAATCGAGTGTACGTTCATCACGGTGAAAAGTGCAGAACTCTGAGTGCGAGTAGACGCAAGTTACTCGATTTGTAGTGTGCTTAGTGCGAGTTATTTAACGTTCTCGATAGCGTAAAAGTGAACTGAAATTTGTATGCAGTTGGAACGTTTGCCTACGTTTACCGCTAGAGGCGTTGTTCCAATTGCATACAAATTTTATCTAACTTGCTCGCTATCGAGAACGTTACAAAACTCGCACTAAGCACACAGGACGTTTATTCATCTTGTACAGCGATCATTTTTTCTCTTATATTGGTGCTGCTAACTATTATCCGGTGAAAACCTTACTCGCCTAAGAACATCCACGAGAAGACATAGAGCGGTTCTATTTAGACTAAAATGTAGGTATACCTCAGAAGGCCATTAGCCATGTTTAATTGATCAAATTTTAAATGGAAAGCATTCGTTTTCATGTCTTACCTGAAAAGTGAATAAGTCCGTTATAATAATGTATGAGATTGGTTGGAAACCCGCCGCGTCTGCGAAGATGCACACGCACATGGCGACCACCGGGACCCAGCCCGGCAGCCAGAAGCCCAACGAAGTCATATAGAACCAGGCGGATAAGGCCACCATCCCAACGCCGACAGTGAACGACGTTGAAACTAGCAGAAGCTGGGGAAGTTTTTTTTTTTTTTTCATTAACTGTTCACATGTCAGTTGAATTATGGAGGGTAGAAGTAAAAAGCTGAGTACCAACTTTTATAGGGAATTAGTTGAAAAGGTGTCTTACCTAGAAATACCGAAATAGCGCTCGTGTAGGAAGTGTAGAATATCGAGGGGTGAAAATATATTTGGTTTAAGTGATTTTTGCAACTTTACAGGAGAGCATTTTGATTTAAAATTTAAAATTTGGAAGAAATATCATGACAAAAAAACTTCTTCAGCTATTTGATTGGACTAAACATAATTGAAGTTCAATTAAAAACATCGAATTGGTGATGCTAATAACAAATAAAGCGTACCTTTAATTACAAAGATAAATGTAGCGTATTAAGTGAAATGTCGATTAAAGCAAATAGCTCTTCACTCCCTCCTCGATATGTTTAAAGCAGTTTTAAGCAGAGTAAAGTATACTGGATTGAATTGAAGTGTTGGCGATAGTTATTAGTTGATAAGGCGCTGTTTTTAAAATCTTTCCACATGCTACTGTGGCGCCACCTTAATTTACTCCTTCTCAACGGACACTTTATAATACATACATGATATTTTTTTAAGGGATTTTAGGACCTGGTAACTGAGACCTTTAAGTTATGTCTTATTTTAATTTATATTCATATTTTTATGAAAAATGATATTATGGAGTGAAATGAAATGAAGATGATTAATTTGAGACATTAATCAACTGGGATGAAATGAAATGGGATGAAATATAATCTCAGTAAAATGATGGCCATTTACTAAGATTTTTTCAGTGGACTTTTTGGAGGATCCCGAGAAGTTACGTCCAGCGGCTTTGTTTCATTTTTCTACATTTGTGCACTTTCACAGATATTAAACAATTAATAAACCACCATTATTACACATTTAAACCCGAAGAAACACTAAATCGACAAAATAAAACAAATCACACAACTTCACTCCTCGCGTTGCCGCCAAAAAGTTCATAAATACATGATATCATGCTCCTTACTTCTACCCTCCATAGTTGAAATCTAAGCAACATAGTGTATCTGTTCCAGCGTGATTACTACGAAACAATATTCTAACGTACCTTCCGCCCAGTTTTCTCCACGATGCAAGTGGCCAAAATCGATCCCAAGAGCTGCAAGACTCCGATCATCATGACCTGTTTGTTCGGCGTCAATGGTATCGTTACCGAATCTGAGGCCTTCTTGAAGACGAAGCCGGCGTATATAAGCACTATTAAGTACCCGTCGAACTGTTGCGTTATTTTGATGACCAACGTTATTATGAACGCTTTGAACGTCGGCCTGTCGTGTACTGAAAATAATTTTAAAAGTTTTCAATCCATCGCTAATATTTACATGTCGGAGACGGTCATTAGTTTGGTAGCTAACCCATAGACACGGCCCACTGAGTTTCTCGCCGGATCTTCTCAGTGGGTCGCGTTTCCGATTCAGTGGTAAATTCCGCGAAGCAGTGCTTCTTGCTAGGGCCAGTGTTAGCATCACTACCGGTTTGAGCCCCGTGAGCTCACCTACATGTCAAGGAGAAGCTGAAATAGCCTCTCAAGGCTATCAGCGTAGGTAGAAGAAAAAAAGTTTGGTAGCAAAACGAAGCGCGGCACGATTCCCGAGAGGTGATAGCACGATCGCGATGCTGTCGGAACTCGGCTAACTGCCTAGCCGATGGAGGCGCGCATAGACGTCAGTCATCACGTACTAACCATCCTTCTTGAAGAACGGAGCCTCCATCCTAAGAACTGTCATTCGTTTTCGTTTACTAACGTCAAGGGAAGATTTCTAAACTTTGTCTAAGGCAACAAGCGTGTTTTGTGTAGCGTACTCAATATTTCTCTTAACTCGATCAATTTTCCTACCTTTGCTTATGGTCTAGAGATACCATATCAGCGTAACCTTAACTAGTAGGTGAGCTCACGATGCTCAAACCTGACGATGTTGCTAGCATGAACCTTACGAAGAGCCGGGCTTCGCAGAATCTATCAACGGATCGGAAACGCGACCCACTGAGAAGATCTGGCGAGTAACTCAGTGGGCTGTGCTGTGGGGCTCGATTACCCTAGCTATTCGCCCCTATGATGTCTGACGATGGTACATACAATATAATGATATCAAATATTCCAGCCAATAAAAGTCTTTAACTGCGTTTTCTGTAATATAAATACGAAAATAACATTTAAAGCCATTAATATCTCTATGTAAATTAATATTTTAAACAATATTATTAGATTATGTAAGATTGATTTATTCTCTTCATTGAATGACAGGTGAGTGAACTTGTCTAAGAAAAATCTTTTTAAAACTAGAGATTTTCCTTTACATATACTTATCTATATATATAAAAATGAATTGCTGTTCGTTAGTCTCGCTAAAACTCGAGAACGGCTGGACCGATTTGGCTAATTTTGGTCTTGAATTATTTGTGGAAGTCCAGAGAAGGTATAAAAGGTAGATAAATATGCTAAAAGCTCGGAATTAAATCAAAATAACAATTTTGTTTTTCCTTTGATGTGTCCCCCGTTGGACGGATTCCTTTTGTTAGTTTTAAGTTTATTTTATACAAAAGTTTAGGGTCTTTTATTTATCGATTGAGGCACTACGAAGTCTGCCGGGTCAGCTAGTAATGTAATAATAATACTAAGTGTGAGATGAAACCGAAAAATGAGTTTTAAATACATTGTGTTTAAGTTAAATGAATCCGGATATCTGGGCCCCGTTCAAATGTGTATCTGATTTCTGAATTCATATGTGGATCAAATCTCATATCTAATGCCACTAAAGAAAAATTTTCACTAAGATTTTCCTGATACACCAAAATAAATGTGTTTAAACTTATACATATTTTGTGCTTTTATCAAATTGTTTTTATTTGTCTGTAATTATTTTCGTATCTACCAAGTATGTTCTATGTTCTGAAACTTAATTTTCTTTACACAATTTTTCGAGGAATAAACCACAGAGTGCAATGAAAATTGTTACTCTCTCCCTCCAACCCCGGCCTCACACAAATAGTACCTATAGATTAATTGATATGTCCTCAACTAGGAATCTAAAGGTAAACCTCGTACAAAGTTTATAAAAAAAAACTTCTTTAGACTACATTCGAAGCGAGAAAAAAACAATTAGTGTTTAAACAGAGAACAATATTCATTTTCAGACATTTATCACGATTTCATGGCGTCACGTTTATAATTTTCTTCGATATTTCGTAAAGTATCACTTGGTATAAGTACAATGGAATGTTGCGTTTCTCATAACACGACCATACAAAGTCACCGGACAGTCAAATAATAGCATAGATGTATCGCCGCCACCTTGTGTTCTATTGTGAATTGAATTCGGCAAGCGAACTCAATAAATTAAGTTGAAATAAACAATATTAATTTTGAACATGTAATCAATTAGTTTTATGACTTTGTTATTTAAAAAATTACAATAGGCTCGACTTTTAGAAATCTCAAGGTGCAATGGACCGTTTATCGTTCGACGGATTCGTGAGGAATACATTAATTTTTTTTTTTTCCAAAATTCAGTTGTTTAATTTAGGTATTAGGTGAATTTTTGGTTAGGTATAGGTATAATTTGGATAGGTATTAGGTAAAATTTAGGTATTATGATGAGATCGGGCTCAATGGCCCTAGAAGAGTAGCTTATGTCGAGCAGTGAACAAATGTAGGCAAATAATGACAACGAAGGGGCTCATAATTTTTTGTTTATTGCTTCGATAGTTGGACGAGGTCACAGCCCATCTGTTGTTAAGTGGTTACTGGAGCCCATAGACATCTACAACGTAAATGCACCACCTTCATTGAGATACAAGCTCTAAGGTCTCAGTATAGTTAAAACGGCTGCCCCACCCTTCAAACCGAAACGCATTACTGCTTCACGGCAGAAATAGACAGGTCGGTGGTATCTACCCGTGTGGACTCACAAAAGACATCTAAGCAATAAAAAATTGATCCGGCGAAAGGTCAGTGGGAAATAAGATACGGTTAGGCACAAAACAGTGCAATTACGGGCCTCGATTTTATTAAAGACCTTCATTTTTGATGTCGCTCGTAATTTGAGCACGAAAATGACTAAGATGGATCACATCTTCGCATCGAGTTAGAGAATTGTCCATTAGTATGAGCAATCGAGATTTTAATAGCCTGCGTTTTCACAAAATAAACTTACAAATCGTTCCCCAAACGGATTTTGCGTCGATTTTCGTCTGCTTCTCTACGCTTACAATGTTGTCTATGTCTTGCTCCACCGCTCTGTTTACGACGGAGACACCTCGGAGCCACGCCAGCACTGTTTTGGCCTCCTGAATGAAAAACAAAATATTGTAAATTAAAAAAGAAAAAAAAATTGCGCGTCGTTTTTTCTATCAACTGTATAGTTGCTGGGGATGCTTCTGGAAATTTCCGGGATAGTACCTTTTACTTTAGATAGATGGCGCGCGGTACACTTAAACAAGTGAATAACGTTTGTGTGGACTTGAATATAATCTATCTATCTCTTCTGTGGGTGTCGTAGATTCCTATCAAGGGATTCACCAAAGAATAGGCAGCATCGTTTTCAGATTAATTTACTAGCATTGACACAAAAGATCAAGTAATGGTTTCCTTAACCTCTTAATTTCAAGATGAGATAACCAACCCACTTTTCGTAGGTGGTAGGATCTATTAGTTGTGTATTTTGATTTAGAGATACGGTACAATCGAAGTTAAGTGGTCACCAAAGCCCAGAGACATCGCAATATGAACTCACTAAAGAATAAACTCATTTTAGGCGATAGGGCGTTATTAAAATCAGCAATAATGAGAACAATGTTAATTTTTTTTTGCCCTTGTTGGCAGACGAGCACACGGCCCACCTGAAGGTGAGTGGTTACCGTCGCCCATGGACTTCAGCAATGCCAGGGGCAGAGCCAAGCCGCTGCCTACCGCTTAATACTCTCCACAAGCCTCGTTTGAAAAAGGACATGTCATAGCGCTCGGGATTAATATTCTTATAATTCTTTATTGTCTTACTAAAAATTCTATAGGATTCATTTTAGAAAGCGTTATCGGAAATAAATACCATTTAACTCAATTATCATATCTGTCTACAATATTTAAGTATCGGAACATACAATGTTAGTCGACTTCCGAGATTGTCACTTCGAATCGTGTGATGCATGCACAATGTTCGTCCTATTAATACTATTTTATGGTTTCAATAATAGACGGTTGAGAATAGACTACTTTAATGTTTTTAATTATCTATGGTACACTCCCATCCTGGTACAGATTTTAATCACTAGATGGCGTTAGTATGAAGTAAACTAATTTGATTTTATTAAACATAACATTCGACTCATTTAAGTTTTCTTCATAGACCGATTCAAACTTAAGCGTGTTGAAATTTCGAGGAAATAAAGACTGGCGTTAGTACAGTAATAAGCTATTATAGTTTATTACTAATATAATAGTATTGATTACGCCGCGCTGTGGACAGAACACTGGTGGTAGGACCTCTTGGGAGTCCGCACGGGTAGGTACCACCACCCCGCCTATTTCCGCCGTGAAGCAGTAATGCGTTTCGGTTCGAAGGGTGCGGTAGCCGTTGTAACTATACCTGAGATCTTAGAACTTATATCTCGAGGTGGGTGGCGCATTTACGTTGTAGATGTCTATGGGCTCCAGTAACCACTTAACACCNCAATCAGGAGCCAATCAGGCGCATAACGCATTTCGTGTGACATGCTAGTACGATTTTGATTGGCGCGCGCACGCATCACGCAATCAGGAGCCAATCAGGCGCATAACGCATTTCGTGTGACATGCTAGTACGATTTTGGTCCCCATAATTTTCATACCCCGGGCCTATATATGTAAATCGATTCTAAAGGAGTAAACTTCAATAAACTCCAATAAAAATATATATATTAAAAGACGGCGTCAAATGTTTTTTTTTTAAATCTCAATTTTTATGACTATAAAAAAATAATAACAATTAGTACTTACATCTACTTTCCCCTGCTTCACGAGAAACTCCGGTGTCTCCGGCATGATCAGGAAGATGAAGAAGACGATTACGGGCACCATGAGTCCGAGCCATAGCATCGTGCTGACTGCCAGTAGATCGGCGCCCACGTAACTTGCCAAGTAACCTATATTTCTAGAAAGCGTTTCCATAATAGAAGCTCTTGATATTTAGTCATTAAGAAGCTCTTGAAGCTATTTAGTTAGTAAGAGGCTATTACAGCTACGCGCTGACGGGTAGGTGAGGTCACGGGCTCAACCTGAGAGAATTTGCTAACTAGCCCTAGCAAGATGTCAGCGTAACTGTCGCCTTTCCGATCCGGTGATAGATTCTGCGAAGCACTGCTCTTGCTAGGGCCAGTGTTAGCAACACTCCCGGTTTGAATCCCGTGAGCGTACCTACTAGCTCGGTGAATCTAAAAAATAAGCGTCTTTGATATCAACGGTGGCATCAACGTTTTGAAGGTCACCCCGAAAAATTCGTTCTGTTAAAAACACTTACCTATTTAATATGAGGAGAGATCCCAGAGCCCCCCTCAAGTCAATGTCGCTTATTTCTTTTAAATAAATAGGCAGGACTATGTAGCACGCCGAGCAGGGTATCCCAGCGATTGCCCTCGCCATTATCAGCGCCCACGGCTCCAGACACAGCAGTTTGATCTGCCAGTATATCTGTTAGGAAAGCCAGATGATTTGATTATGAAATGACGTGGAATGAATATCTAATATAATCATGGCCGAAGACAAAAATGGTCACTTCACGGTTGAATTTCTTTCTGTCGCCCTAAACACGACATTACGGATCCTCCCGACCCATTAACGGCGCTTTCAGGTATCTCAAGCACCGGTCAACGTCCTCGCCGAGCCCGTCGCTTGCGATGAAAGGCTCGACCAGTAAATTAACCCATAAACACAGCCCACTGAGTTTCTCGGCGAATCTTCTCAGTAGGTCGCGTTTCCGATCCGGTGGTAGATTCTGCGAAGCACTGCTCTTGCTAGGGCCAGTGTTAGAAACACTTCCGGTTTGAGCCCCGTGAGCTCACCTACACGTCAAGGAGAAGCTGAAATAGCCTCTTAAGGCTATCAGCATAGGTAGGAAAAAATATTAAATTAAAAATAATAAAAAATTGAATTTCGATCACATGTGCGGATAAGTACGAACCAAATTCCATAAATGTGAAAAAAAACTGTGTATTTGTTTCTATCTTTGTCCTTCTTTCATTTTGTTACGAAGAAAGAAAGTTCAGGAGAGTGATGTAGGCTTTGTGATAACAATCTTTTATAAATAAGTATTTTTTTAAGCATAATAAGGACGAAGGAAGCGCGGAACAGCCTATTCATCGAAATTAAATTCTTTTGGACCACGTTTTGTTTTTGTTGTAGTAAAAATAACATCGGTGTGATCATAGCCTTAAGCCTTCCTTACATATTGAAAAGCGAGGTTTAAATAATCTCAGAAATGTGTAAGAACCGTCACACTTTTTGTATTTACCCGTGCAAGACCCTTTTTTTTTAATCAAAAAAGGATTACTTGTGCCCCGAAGGCCTGTCCAGTTTCACCAGGACAGTTGGGCGAACAGGGTTCGGTTATGATTTTTTTTCATTGCTTAGATGGGTGGACGAGCTCACAGCCCACCTGGAGCCCATAGACATCTACAACGTAAATGCGCCACCCACCTTGAGATATAAGTTCTAAGGTCTCAAGTAAAGTTACAACGGCTGCCCCACCCTTCAAACCGAAACGCATTACTGCTTCATGGTAGAAATAGGCAGGGTGGTGGTACCCATCCGCGCGGGCTCACAAGAGGTCCTAACCAGTAATTACGCAAATTATTTTGCGGGTTTCATTTTTATTACACGATGTTATTCCTTCACCGTGGAAGTCAATCGTCAACCTTTGGTGAGTACGTATTTCATTAGAAAAATTGGTACCCGCCTGAGATTCGAACACCGGTGCATCGCTCAACACGAATGCACCGGACGGACGTCTTATCTGTTAGGCCACGACGACTTCAACTTTGGTTTCATCTTTATAATAACGTAGGTAGATAATAGAATTATCTTAAAACGAAATTCTGCAACATATAAAATGTGAAACAACAATATGTAAAAGAATATACGGCCATACAAGTTGTATTTCATTTAAATACTTAGATATAATTTAGAAGATGTTCAAATGATTTTATAATGTATTTCCGTCTGAATTCAAGGTTGTTCAAATCTTTTTTTATCTGTTTACATTAGTAGATGAGCAAGCATGCGATATACTTTGTGAATGCACCCGAAAATTTAAAATTATAATATAAATAAATTATAATAATGTTAACATCAAGAAAAAGTTACGGTAAGCGATGTGTTTTATATCAATGTACCAAATTTTATTTTATAACCCACATTACGGAATGCAAGGATCACAAATTAATAAATAAGTGTCATTTTTTTTTATTGCTTAGAATGGTGGACGAGCTCACAGCCCACCTGGTGTTAAGTGGTTACTGGAGCCCATAGACATCTGCAACGTAAAAGCGCCACCCACCTTGAGATATAAGTTCTAAGATCTCAGCGTAGTTACAACGGCTGCCCTACCCTTCAAACCGAAACGCATTACTGCTTCACTGCTGAAATAGGCAGGGCGGTGGTACCTACCCGCGCGGAGTCAAGAATTAAAAAATAATACTTTGGTATACAGCAGCTGTTTCACAATTTGAAAACAAATACGCATGCGAATAAACTGACTGGCTGGCTCAAAAATCGGTGTACCTGGGAAAAATATATTTAATAATATCGACGCTTGAAAGGCAAACGTGACTAAGCGACAATGCGTAAACTTTACAGTAGACTAATTTAAAGTTGAAATACCTGAAAACAAAATTTATTTTAACAAATCTAGCTGTAGTAGAATCTACCTAGTAGTTGTAGGATTGAAATGACTTTAAGACCTAGAAATATATATTTTTTGCGCAGCGAATATGATTATTGCCTATCATTTATGTACAAAGCAGTTATTGTCGCTTAGTCACGTTTGCCTTTCAAGCGTCGATATGGTTTTGACCGAATGCTGAATCTCACCAGCTTCTTCATATTAATATTTCGAAAGCTAAATGGAAATATAATAATAGAAATATACTGGTGGTAGGGTTCTGTGTAGAAGCCCGCCCGGGTTGGTACCACCGTCCTGTCTATTTCTGCTGCAAAACAGTAATACTGTGTTCCGGTCTGAAGGACAGGATAGCCGGTGTAACATACATAAGGCTGCCCATCCAGGCCAGGATAGGCAGCGCATCTGAGTCACTGATGTAGTTTGGATGTCTATGGGCGATGGTTATCATTTCCCATCAGATGAGCCGTAAGCTCGTCTGCCTATCGAAAGCAATAAAAAAAAGCAATTAGCCAGGCAAAAAACTATATAAATATATTACTTTCATATTTCCTTGTATTCGTTTTTGTAATGTAATTTCTATTTACTACTAGCTGAGACGGCAGACTTCGTAGTGCCTCAATCGATAAATAAAAGTATGTATAAAATAAACTTAATACAAACAAAAGGAATCCGTTCGACGTGGGACATATCAAAGAAAAAACAAAATCGTTATTTTTATTTAATTCCGAGCATTTTCGTTTTTATCTACCTTTTAAACCTTCTCTGGACTTCCACAAATAATTCAAGACCAAAATTAGCCAAATCGGTTCAGCCGTTCACGAGTTTTAGCGAGACTAACGAACAGGAATTCATTTTTATATATAGAGATAGATAGATAGATAGATAGATTAGGTTTTTTTTCTTTTCAATAAACACATTAAGTCGCACGCGCTGTGATTGCGATCTAAATGCTGTGTGCTTAGTGTGAGTTTTATAAAGTTCTCGATAGCGTAAAAGTTAACTCAAATTTTTTTGCAATTGGAACAGTGTCCCTAGCGGCAAACGAAAGCAAACGTTCCAACTCCATACAATTTAGAGTTAACTTTTACGCTATCGAGAACGTTAAAAAACTCGCACTAAGCACACTGTTCCTAACCTGAATTATGGTACATGTAGTGGTGGTAGGGCGTCTTGGAAGCCCGCGTGGATAAGAAGCAGTAACATCGATTTGAAAGATGGAGTAGCCGTTTTACTTTAAAACTGTTAGTAACTACTTTTATCCCAAGATGGTGCGCTCACGTTGTTGATGCCTATGAGTTCCGGTAACCTCTTAACACTAGGTCTACCGCTTTAGCTGCCATGCTTGTGTTGAAAGCTCATAATTGTGTACCCATTTCTGCCGCGAAACATGAAGATTAAAACAACCGTTGTTATAAGATTCAAACATGCTGATGACACGTCATTACGGATCCTTCCGATCCATTAACGGTTCTTTTAGGTACCCCAAGAATCCGTCGCTTGCGACGAAGGGCTCGACGAGTAAATTAACCCATAGAAACAGCCCACTGAGTTTCTCGCCGGATCTTCTCAGTGGGCCGCGTTTCCGATCCGGTGGTAGATTCTACGAAGCACTACTCTTGTTAGGGCCAGTGCTAGCAACATTCCCGGTTTGAGCTCCGTGAGCTCACCTACACGTCAAGGAGAAGCTGAAATAGCCTCGTAATGCTATCAGCATAGGTAGGGGAAAAAATGCTGATATGCGTGGATTCATGCTCCAGTGTTTTCTTTTTCATTTAATTGAATAATACGTGGCTACTCATCAGTTTCAAATTGCATTACTCATTTCGATATTAATTGGATTTTAATGCAACATTTACTATTTTAGTTCGTTTTAATAACGGAGTTCATTTTAACAATAATGAAAATATGAATAGGTTTTTATTAAAAGTTAAATTCCTACTTTTCTTTTTTTAAACAGTTACAATTTCTAATATGTCTTTTATTTCATGATTCCTTTAAATAAAACACTACCAGGAAGACAAATTAAATATACGAATTCGCGTAAATAATCAATTTATAAAAAAAATAGGTCTGTCGAATGTGTTAACCGTCTTCTTTGTGTTCATACATCATTCCCGATCCTGCGGAAAGAATGGAAAGCAGTCGACGTCGCCCCAAACACGTCATTTTGGGTCCTCCCGATCCACTAACGGTGCTTTTAGGTACCTCAAGCACCGATCGCCGTTCTCGTCGAACCCGTCGCTTGCGACGAAGGGCTCGACGAGTAAATTAACCCTCAGACACAGCCCACTGAGTTTCTCGCCGGATCTTCTCAGTGGGTCGCGTTTCCGATCCGGGGGTAGATTCTGTGAAGCACGGCTCTTGCTAGGGTTCGTGTTAGCAACGTCATCAGGTTTGAGCCCCGTGAGCTTCACCTACTAGTTAAAGTTCCGCTGAAATAGCCTCTTAAGGCTATCAGCTTAGGTAGGAAAAAAAAAGTTCATACATTTTATACGAAGTCCGAGTGCATCGATTATGAACTTGTATGACGTGAATATGGAAGAATACGTAGTTGTTCGAATGCACGACAAGGCCGTCCAGTAACCTTATAATAAACAATAATCTTACATAATCTATAGTTTATTTACATAGCTATGGAGAATGTTTGTTAGCATGATATTTTTATAGTTAACTAAAAATAGTGTTAATTAATTAATTAATTAATTTGTACAATCCGAAGATAATAATAAAAATAATATGCTTACTACGTAATGCGTCATGACAAAATTTTATTGAGTGATGTTTTATATGGACGATATTTTAGAAGGCACAGACGGTGAGATTGTGGATTTGCCCGCTGTTTCTCGCTGGATCTTTTCAGCGGGTCGCGATTTCGATCCAGTAGTAGATGCATTTGTTAAGTAGTTGCCCTTGAGCTGTTAGGTCTACTTCGGAGGCGCTTGGACAGCTGGTAGCCAATCCCACCCCTCATACTGGTGGTGGGACCTCTTGTGAGTCCGCACGCGTAGGTACCATCACCCTGTCTATTTCTGCCGTGAAGCAGTAATGCGTTTCGGTTTGAAGGGTGGTGCAGCCGTTGTAACTATACCTGAGACCTTAGAACTGATATCTCAAGGTGGGTGGCGCATTTACGTAATAGATGTCTATGGGCTCCAGTAACCACTTAACACCAGGTGGGCTATGAGCTCGTCCATCCACCTAACGTATAAAAAAATATCATATCCGAGCCTTTGCTCGCCCAACTGTCCTGGTGAAACTGGACAGGCCTTCGGGGCACAAGTAATCCTTTTTTGATTAAAAAAAAAGGGTCTTGCATGGGTAAATACAAAAAGTGTGACGGTTCTTACACATTTCTGAGATTATTTAAACCTCGCTTTTCAAAATGTAAGGAAGGCTTAAGGCTATGATCACACCGATGTTTTTTTTTACTAGGTCCAAAAACAAAACGTGGTCCAAAGAAATTTTATTTCGATGAATAGGCTGTTCCGCGCTTCCTTCGTCTTTATTATGCTTAAAAAATTACTTATTTATAAAAGATCGTTGTCACAAAGCAGTGACCAATTAACCAGAACAGACGTCTTGTTAATAAAAACAGGTTTGTTCAAAATTATCGTAGCGTAAACAAAAAAAAAATAAACAAAAAAATGCCAATCGATTGTACTAAATTCATTCGGAACATCGTTTCCTAATCGATACATTATATTACTTCCTTTATGAAACAAAGATTCAGAAATGTAGCATCCGATATCTGTGATAATGATTGTCGGAGCCAGAAACTGTTTTTTTTTCGACGCGTGATGTAATTGTTTGGGTTTTTTTTTCTAAAGAGAATGTCGGAAATTAGAATTTTCGGATGTTCGTCTGATCTAGGTATACGCCCGTACGCGCGTAGCTGGAATAGCCCCTTGAACTACCAGCAAATAGATAGGTTTTTTTATACATTTAATAAAATTTTAGTTGACTGCTGCATACAGTCTCTATTTTATACATTTACTAGCGACCCGCCCGGGCGCGCCCTCGCTCTCGATATAGGGACAGAGAAAGCGACTTTGTTTTATACTATGTAGTGATGAATAGAATTTATAAAAAAAAAGTTTGAAGTCGTCGTGGCCTAAAGGATAAGACGTCCGGTGCATTCGGGTCTAGCGATGCACCGATGTTCGAATCTCGCAGGCGGGTACCAATTTTTCTAATGAAATACGTACTTCACAATTGTTCACGATTGACTTCCACGGTGAAGGAATAACATCGTGTAATAAAAATCAAACCCGCAAAATTGTAATTTGCGTAATTACTGGTGGTAGGACCTCTTGTGAGTCCGCACGGGTAGGTACCACCGCCCCGCCTATTTCTGCCGTGAAGCAGTAATGGTTTGAAGGGTGGGGCAGCCGTTGTAACTATACTGAGACCTTAGAACTTATATCTCAAGGTGGGTGGTGCATTTACGTTGTAGATGTCTATGGGCTCCAGTAACCACTTAATATTAGGTGGGCTGTGAGCTCGTCCACACATCTAAGCAATAAAAAAAAAACTCTCTATATTCGATATCGAACAACAGTAATCATGCAAATTATAATTTATTTTGGTTTAACGAATATTAAAAAAAAACCTTGGTTCAACTAGACTACTAACTAATTCAGTCTAGATATAATACGAACTAAACATAAGGTACCGCAATGTAAGTAATGATCGAGCTACTGGGCGAACTCAACTGACATCGACCATAATCATTGACACTGTCAAGATCTTGATAAGATTTATTTATTAAAATGTCTCTTCCGTTTTGTTGTTGCAATTTTTTCTTCAATTATGTTTTATGATCGTAGGACTTGTAAATTTGTCTACACAAAGAGGAAATTTGTTTGTAAAATTGAGGAAGAAAAGGTGTTAAGCTGTTTTGTTTTCCTGGATAAGGATGACTGCTTCTAGTGCTAGAGTTTTAGGTGTCTAATAACAGTTTTAGCGGATCTGGTGGATCCATAAGGACGTGTCTAGAACTTCGACGGTGATTGGGTCCTGCGTGAGCCAAAGTGGGGCAGTAATCAATCAGTAGTAAAACTATACTAACTACACACACACACACACACACACACACACACACACACACACACACACACACACACACACCTACATACAAATCAAATCAAATCAAAAAAAAATATTTAACATAAATGAAAGTACATACTTGTTGAACGTTAAAAAGAACTACCGCCAATTCACAAAAACTAGCCTCTGTCCTGAGAAGAACTGGCAAGAAACTCAGCGGGCATGTCTTTTTTCTTTTTTTATATTACATTTTTTTTAAATATTCATTTTACAATGAGTATTATAACGTAACAATTATTGTAATATTGAAATGCCCGGAGCGAGAACTCATTTCCACTTTGTGCAATCTTCTACACAGATACAGGTCAAGCTGATAAAAGCGTATTAAAATACTTACAATAAGCGAAAGTGTCGTAGCTAAGGTCATGACTTTTCTTCCGTACTTGTCGGTGAGATGGCCCATTGGGGCGCCAAGGATGATCGCCGATATGTAAGTGACTGAGGTCACCCAGGAAATGTCATTGCTGTTGTACGGCTCCGGCGAGGGCCCACCCGGGGACTGGAGCGAGGCGATCATCGGCGACAACCAGCCCTGGATCATTCCGAAGCTCAGCAGCGGTATCGTTACTGAGGACAAAATTTGTAACCTGTTAAAAACGGATTTCGGAAGATTTTAAGTCGAAATCAAATTATCGTTTTCGAAACGTTCTGACGCTCAAAAAAAAAAAAAAACGTTTTTCAAACGCTCCAGGCCCTAAAATTGCGATACTTTAAGAAAAATATTTTTCTTTTGTATCGAAACTATCGACATCTTGTAGCTGATGCCCCTAAACTAATATGTTGTTTAAGTTAAGGCATTTAAATATTGTATAACTAAACACAGAAAATAACAAAAAATTAAATCATACAGGAATTTATTTGTTATAGACAAATTAATTAAATTTTATCAATTTGTAGTTTATGAAAATTTACAAACTCCTTCATTAAAAATAAAATATAGGATAGTTATTATGTTAATACCATCTACAGGAGCAATGAGAAACTAATCGTAGCGGAGCCATCTAGTGGCCGACGCCCGTAAACATTTTTGTTGAGTGCTCGAGTTGCTTTTCTATAACTAATTTATGTATAGTATCTATGAAGAGCTTGTTCTATTCATTTATGACTACACAAAATAGCAATCCGATTTCTATTGAAGTTTTTATACCGCGCAATGTAATAACATTAAAAATATTTCACATTACATTGCTTGTTGACGAAAAACTAACTTTTGCGTTTTTTATTCTGAACGTTTATCCTAGGAGAGTAAAGTTAGGTACTTGTATTAAGAATAAAACCTATTTTATTTAAAATCGATAAACCCATGTGATTCAATCAAGGATAATTGCAAGACAATTATCGGCAAACGAACATTTCGTGCCGCGCAATATTGGACAGCTATTGTGTATTTTTATTCAGACGACTGTTCTAGTACGTTCCGCACATAATTTACTTACAAATAGGCTAATTGTATTAATCCACGGACGATCACGAAACGGTATTGCCATGTTTAAAAAATATACAATTTTATTACTTGCGCGGCTGTTATGGCAGAAGACTTTTGTTTGAACCTTCGAACCGGATCTTTTTTTTATTTATTGCACTACATGAAGAAGAGCTCAAGTTAAGCGATTTATTAATTAATCCCTTTAATTTAAATTTACTAATCCCGCTATGTGTACTCTATTAATTACACGTAACGAATGTCCCACTTCTAACTCACGTGAAAGGTAGTTGGAAACGCCATTTACGATCCTCATCACACACGATCCTCAGCTTCTCTCATCCAACTATTGCCAGCAACGCAACATAGCATATACCCATATTTTATCGTATTGTAATTTGGTGTATAACGATTGTGTAAATATAAAGGCCAGTTACATAATCTCTATGTATAAAAATGAATTGCTGTTCGTTAGTCTCGTTAAAACTCGAGAACGGCTGAACCGATTTGGCTAATTTTGGTCTTGAATTATTTGTGGAAGTCCAGAGAAGGTTTAAAAAGTAGATAAATATGAAAATGCTCGGAATTAAATAAAAATAACAATTTTGTTTTTCCTTTGATGTTGCCCCCGTCGGTCTTTTATCTATCGATTGAGGCACTACGAAGTCTGCCGAGTCAGCTAGTTTTAATAATAAAAATCATGTATAGCCTTTCACACTAAATAAAATATAAATAAAAGAAAAGAAAAGAAAAAAGGAAAAGGCAGAAGGAGGTGGCTCAGGTAATGTCGATAAATCGAACAGCGCTGATTTTCAGTCACCCCCGTTTCCCTTTGGTTCATTCCGGAAATCAAGGCTAGGTACGTGTGTACAGACTAAAAACCTGGTATAAACTAGTACAAAATAAAGAAAAACAAAAAAATCTAATTAAATGGTGAACCCGAATACAAAATATACATAAGAACACACAGTAATAAAAACCTGTAAGCAGCCTAAAATGAAACAACTAAGAAAAGAAAATAAAGCACGATAATACATTTTTATTTTTATTTTTTTACTTATTGCTTAGATGGGTGGACGAGCTCACAGCCCACCTGGTGTTAAGTGGTTACTGGAGCTCATGGACATCTACAACGTAAATGCGCCACCCACCTTGAGATATAAGTTCTAAGATCTCAGTATAGTTACAACGGCTGCGCCCCACCCTTCAAACCGAAAGGCATTACTGCTTCACGGCAGAAATATGCGGGGCGGTGGTACCTACCCGCACGGACTCACAAGAGGTCCTACCACCAGTACATCGTCGTACTAAGCGAGGCCTTTCAATACATAATGATATATACATCGATTAGCATCAATACCAAACGTTTTAACCGTGCACGAACAGACAAATATACAAGCAAAGAAATGTAGACATCACCACCGACGGCAGTTTTACGACAGCGTTTTAATTACAAAAAAGAACATACACAGCTCATTGAAAAGAATGCTGTATTCCAATCACGTCTATTAATGGCTTATCTATCGGTACGGTTGGCAGAAACGTTAAATTTTTTTTTTAAATTAAATTTCGATGATAAATTGAAAAATCTTTTTAATGCAATTTTATACATATTATTGAACGTTTTTAACATTCTGATAACAGCTTGATCATTTGCATTAATAAAATTCGAAATGTTATGATTTCTTCATGTTCGACAACGGCGCACTAACACCGATAGTGCTACCGTTAAAATTAACAATAAGTAATGTCATTTTAACGAAATTTAAAAATATAATAGTTTTGATTCAGATATTTGAAAATCTAAGGTTTAGTGTAAACCCTAATAATAATTAAATGTAAATCATAGAATGAAACAGGATGATGTAAAAGAAACAGTAGAAGAAACAGAATAGTCCCTTTCTATGACATATTTTCACCTCTAGGGGCCTTCTAGTGACCTCGAGGGGTTATGCTAGATTCACCGAATGAACAAATGAGCTCATGGGTCTCTAACCTGGTGACTTTGCTAACATTAGCCTTAGTAGAAGCAGTGCAGAATCTACCACCGAATCGGAAAGCCATTGAGAAGATCCGGCGAGAAACTCAGTGGGACACGTTGTAATGGATAAATGGAGATGGGTTGACGTCAGACATATGGCCGGTCGTTTTTTTTTCCTACCTATTCGATGGTAGCCTAAGGGGTTATTTCAGCTAGACATTTGACAACCTGAGAGAATGTGCTGACACTGGCCCTAGCAAGAGCAGTGTTTAGCAGAATCTACCGTCAGATCGGAATCGCGACCCACTGAGAAGATGCGGCGAGAAACTCAGTGGGTTCGGTCCATCGTAAAACTCATATTCTATTCCTATGCAGCATGTTGCTTTCACCCACGTAATTTGGGATAAGAAAAAGAAAATTATCATCGCTAACTTTTTCATCGTAAATTGGCCCTAATGCATAACAGAACACAGGCTCTCAAGTTCGATTGCACAACTCTTTTGTTAGTGTAAAATCCATTAATAAAAGGAAAAGCTTTCTTTAGAAAAAAAACAACATTAGGCGTATTAGTTTGATGAATCTATTACAAAACATGTAAATTATCGCCTTTCGTTTACTGTCATTGAACTCCTGTTTTAAAGAATCCAAATTTTTGGCTTGAAAGAGAAATTTAGTTAGTTGGGAAAACGTCCCAAACAAAGAAACAGTTCCAACCCTAAACCTTCCTCTTTTATTTGAGTCTGATAAAATGACGTTGAAAATATTACCACAAATGTTAAAGAATGAGTGCCGAAACAAACCAAAGTATTATTAGTTCAATGCTGACGATATGTTTTTGTCGGTTTTCCCCAATTACTTGTTGCCAAACCAAAAAAAAAAAACTGACGATCTTAAATTTTTACGTAAAAGAAATAACGAGTTAGCATTCAAGGTGTTTCCAAAATCGGATGAGATCAATTCTCGAAACTTCTAAAGCATTTTAGTTTGGAATAAAATAATTAAATTTTTTATTTGCATTTTTAGTTGCGCGAGTTAATGGTATGATAAAAATGTTCTCCATAGACAAAGCAAAAGTTTTTTTGACTCTGAGACGTAATACTCATGAATTTTAGAATAATTTTAATAGCTAATGGACTGCACTATGCAGCCGTTTGGCTGAGCTCTAGCCTCTGCTGAGGTCCATGAGCGATGGTGACCATTCACCAACATGTAAGCCGTATGCCCTCGTATATCTGTAAGACAGTAACAGAAATGTATTTGTTTCAAAAAATGTAAACAGTCGCCTCAATTTAAATCATACGTAAATGAAGTCCAATGGCAGTGAATAAAATAACAATAAATTTTTTTCACTGCTGTTATTCACAGTTGTCATTCAGCATTAATTTGTTTGCATGTTAGATGTTTTAAAATATATCTCAAAAATGTTCAGTGTCATGGTAAGTTTGTTGGCCTATTGTTTATTGCCATTTTGTGCGCAGAGATATATATAGTATTGGAAAATATGACGTTAAGCGTATAAATGCAAATTTAATGCAAGTGAAAACGCGCTGCACACCTAATTCAAATTATTTAAAAAAAAAACATAAAACTAGACCATTCCATATTGTAAGTGTTTATGTGCAAGTGAATTGATACGCGCTGGAAATACAGGATAATTGGTGGTATAGGTTTGGGTTGAAACGGATGTGAAAAAATGTATTTTAGAAACGATATAAGTTGGGATTTATATTTCGCAATTGCAAAGATTTCAAAAAACCAAACACTAAGATCACAATTTATAATGCTCTCGTACGCAGTACCTTGGAATATTGCTGCATTGTGTGGAATCCTTACTATGAAATATACAAGAAACGATTGGAAAGTGTCCAGAAACGGTTTCTATGGTACTTGTCTTACAACTACAATCTGGGTAGGAAGTTACCCAGCTAAGATAGACTTTGCCACTTTAATTTAGACTCTCTTCTATACCGGAGAAAACTAATAAGGGGTATATTTCTGTACAAATTAATTCATGGAATAACCGACACACCTAATCTATTAACACAGATAAAAATATCAGCCACTAAGTACCTACCAAGAACGAAGAAATATAAACCGTTTATAAGAAAGCCCGCTCGTTCGAATTTAGGTGCTTACTCTCCCTTAAACAGAATCCTTTGGGAC